TGTTCAAATGATGACCCCTGAGGGTAGGGTGGGGCCCAATAAGGGGATCGAAAGTTTTACATAGGAACAAATAGAAAAAAAATTCATCTCAAGAACAGAAAAGCTATGTTTAGTCATATTGATATGGAAGCATCCTCAGATAGTGTAGATTCAAGTTTGTTCAAATGATGACCTCTGGGATAGGGAGGAGGCACAATGGGGGATCAAATTTTTACAAAGGAATATATGGGAATTTTTTTGAAAAATCTGCTCAAGTACAACAAAGCCATTTGTTAAAACAAATTATATATTGACATGGAAGCATCATCAGGTAGTTTAAAATTCAAGCCCCCCCCCCCCCCCCCGGTAATCTTTTCAATACTGAACTGATTTGTGCTTTTGCCTTGCCAATGTGCTCAGGTGAGCGATGTGGCCCATGGGCCTCTTGTTTTGTTTTTTGTTTTTTTGTTTTTGTTTTGTTTTGTTTTTTTTTTGCAGCCCCACCCGAAATTTGAGATATGAATATACATTTGATTCGTAGCCATGTACATATACTAGTAATTCTAAACACAAATTTTAGAGATCCCCCCCCCCATGTATTTGTAAAGAAACCCCTCTCCCATGCCCAATCGACAACGAACAAATTTGAATCTACAATACATGATAAGTTTGATAATTTTGACAATTTGAAACTGAGTTCTTCAGAGGAAGATTTTTAACGATATTTCATGTACGTGTACATTGTATATGTTAATCTTGACCCCTTTTCTGACCCCAGTACTGTCCCGGGGGGCATGATTTGAACAAATTTGATGCATGAAGTCGGAAAATTTGTAATCTTGGAGGCTTTTAAAAACATTTATCCTTAGATTTTTACCCCTTTGTGGCCATGTTCTTGTTCAATGAACTTCGTATAAAGTCTGTATAAAGTTAAAGAAGTTTGAACAAACTTGAATCTACACTTGTGAGGATATGTGGATAGAATTTTGATAACTTCGTAGCTTTGTTGATCTTGAAAAGAATTTTATATGATTTTTAAAGATATTTACGTTACACATCTACATTTTAAGTAAAGATTTGACCCTTTTTATGCCTCACCCCTGCCCGAGGGACCATGATTGTTTTAACAAACTTGAATGTACACTAATTGAAGATGCTGACTTGAATATCAAATAGTTTCAGTCCCACGGATCACGAGGAAAAATAAATATTTTGAGGATATCCGCTCCTCAGCTAGGAACAATAAATCTTAAAGAATTATTATTTAATTAAAAGAGTCTCAAAATGAAGCTTTTCGTGCAAAAGTTTTCATTTCATGCATCTCAATATATATTAGTCAAGATTCTTTAAAGTCTTAAAAACAGTGTTGTGAAAAACTGACTTTGTACCCCACACAAGTACAAAAATAAAAACACCTTTCACCTATTCATAGATACCAATGTTTATTAGCATGATGTTAAAGTACCGTATAAGTATTAAAAAAAAATAGATGCCTATAGTTTTTTTTATCCCAAAATATATTTGTTCATAAATTCTCATTTAGAAAATGCCTAGCGGGTGTTTTTATTCACGTTTCTTGAAAATATATTTAAGATTTGATAATTTTCCCTATATAATATGATTAACTATAATGATGAACTTCGAAGAAATCCCATGGGTAAATACACATTACTTAAAAATCAGAGAAAAAAAATTATGAGCATTTTCAATTACCTATACTAGTAACTCGTGATTTTCAGAACCTGGGGTTCGGACTACCTTAAATAAATATTTTTTAAAGATTTTTCCCTAAACATTTATCTGTAAAACTATTCACCCCTTTTGTGACCAATTCTCTGCCCAAGATTTGAATGTACACACACTGAGATTGCTTCCATATTTAAGATGAACGCCAAATGAAATGAAAATAATGTCCTCTGAGAGATAGAGAGGGAGAGAGAGAATGCAACTTCTTCTTTTTTTAATTACTCGTTTGCCCTCTATAATTCATGTTTACCGAAAGTATTGAAAACAGAGGCATATGCAAACATGACGTTGTATACACAGAACACATTTATATTCCTGTGATGAACTATATGTCTACCTTTCCACCAAACCTACGAATTTTACACGATTTTTAATGACGTCTGATCTAGGTTTTCAGTATTGAAGTTTCCCACCATATTTCGAAACGACCTTCCTGAAACATATTTTAGTTCCATATCACGAAGTCCATCAAAAATTGTAGTACAAAAAAGTACATGTATTTCGTGTGTGGAATATAGGAAATAGGAAAACAAGTAAAATTAGACATTTGTAAAATTATCCTTGAAAATATTAAATTAATAATCATGTTTATATAAATATTGACACTGATGACTGGGTGTTTCTGAAATTGGAACTTTCAGAAAATGGAACAGAAATGAACGGAAAATATAATTTCAACACAAGGTCAGACCGGAAAAAGAGCATATCAAAGGGAATGTTTGGGGGGGGGGGGATTACAGATACTCTAAAAATCTTTTTCTACCTAAAAGCGTCACAAGGAATAACAAAATTTAGCAAGAGCAATATTACTTATAGTGTTTCTCTAAACAATATGGAGGAGTTCAACCCCACCTCAGCCCAACCCCACCCGGCCTTTTTTTTAGGACCCAGGCCCTGGGATTCCATTAAAATTTTAAAAAACGGCTCTACAAATATGAGCAAAAACTATCTGTACTGAGAAAAAATAAGTTAAGCTCTGAGAATTTTCATTCTCTCTACCTCTGTACTGCATGGAAAGGGCGGGGGGGGGGGGGGGGGCTATAAAAAGGAGTCATTTCGTCGTGTTTGATGCATGTGTTGCAATGTTACATTATGAATTTTAAAAACGGATCAACATGTATTTTGTTATTTATACATGAATTACACAAATTTTGAGGCAAATGAAAAAAGTTGGGAAAAATTTAAAGATATACCATGTTTTATATTCTATATTTAGTTTCTGATATTTGTATTATGAATCGATAGATTATGAGAAAGTAAAGTTTTGTCAACTTCAACTGTACTGTTTAGCTAACCAAAGAGTGCAATATAAAAGTGGCAGAAAAACAAACTTCAAGGCTTTATCAACTGCATTATTGTTATCGTTTATGTTAAATTCAGGCGACTTTTATTATACATGTACCCCCCCCCCTTCAAAAGCGGGGGTGTATAGTGATAGGGGTGTCCGTCCTTCCGTAACACTTGGAGTACCCATTTCTTATTCGCAACTCCTTCTATACCACTGAAAAAAATTAATGAGACTTTCACAGTATCTTTATTACATAGTGCCATTGTGTACTTCTTATTTTTCCTTTCGACCGGACAGATATTTTTGGTTTCCTAGAGCAAGACACTGCCATTCTTTCTAAAATATTAAGGGTATCCATCTCTTATCCGCAATTCCTCCTATACCAACGAATGGAATTAAATCAGACTTTCAGGAGAGCAGCGTATCAGAAACCCTTGGCTAGTAAGATGACTGCATGTGGAATTGAAAAGAATATCTGCATGCCCTCATTTATTTGTCATATTTATTAAGGAATTTGTATATTTTTCGTGTGTATGGGGTGATAACCGAAATGGAAGTACGTGATAATCTGCGCATTTTGCGACGCTGCTCACGCAAAAATTAGCCCATGATGCTCCTATGTCGAGATACATACCAAAATGATGAATTCTTTAAAGGAGATGGATGAACAAGGTTTGCAGAATGCCTATAGCTTCAGATATATAATATCCTATTCAATTTGTGAATTTGGTATTTAGAGTAAAGTTCTCATTATTGAAATTTATGAAATTATGACATACAAAACTTTTCCGAAGAAAATTTTCTCGACAAATATTATTCCATTATTTAAAAAATAATGTGGTATTCGTGGGGTTCGAACCCTAGCAATAGAACTCCAGAGTATCATATTTCCTTTGATACTAACACACTAACCACTACGCTGCACAACTCCTGATTCATAGTGACATTTAAATCATGTTTGTGATATGACCCTTGACTAAATGGACTTATGTATTTTTCGGAAAGATACGAATGTAGTGTCAAAAATGTGCATTTTAAGGCATGTTGGATCTTTGCTCCATGTTTTTGTTAACCAAAAAAATTCATATTTTTGCGCAAACTTTGAGGATAAACTTTCAAAAAAATGGAGCGAAGACCCACTCATATCGAAAAATTGTGTTAGATATAGTATGAGAAAATGATCCTTTTTGCCCTCTTCAGTGTGTGTATGCTATTTCATAGGCAAATAATTTCAGTCTGTGTGAAGTTTTTGCATATTGTGGAAATTTTATATAAAGTAAGTTTAATGTTAGATGAAATTTCAAAGAAAATTTTGCTATAATTGGGATTTAATTTTTCACCTCCATATTTGTCGCACTATAGGCATTTCGCTCGCCTTGTTCGCCCATCTTCTTTAGAATCGAATTGAATTTTTTTTTATCTCCTTACCCTATTCAATACTCTCTGTATAATTGATATCTTAGCCACGCCTTCTGATGTAATAATAACCATACAAGGACATAAAACAAAAGTTCCGAGGTCACAAGAGATTGGAGGGGGTTATACAGGTATAACCCCCGAAATTTCTGGCATAAAATAGTGGCAAAACATTGGCAAATGTAATTTAATGTAAAAGGTAAAGATAACGAACAGTGACCGATCTCAAAAAATTCACAAAAATACATACATGTGAAGAGGGCATAAAACACTGGAAATTCCAGAGGTGGGATCAGGTGCCTATGAGGAGTAAGCATCCCCTGTTGACCAGTCACACCCGCCATGAGCCCTACGCATTGATCAGGTGGAAGGAACTATCAAACGATTAATGACATTCACAAGTATCTTCTACATAACAGAACAAAATCGCAATGACTGAGCGTTGACGGTGACTAGAACCCCATCCTGATGTTAACCAGCAGACTTGAACTGTTTCACAACCTGGCCAATAAATGACCCTAGTGAACACACAGGGAATTATCTTCATAAAATACAACTCCAACACTTCTGGTTTGTTTGCCATCTGTAGACTTCATTGAAATATGTACAAAATCAATGGGACTTAGTGGTGTGGATGAATTATTGGTATATATAAATCTAAGCATTGAGGGTTACTAAAAAGTATAATATTAGAATGATTAAGCGACTATTACAAATTTATACAGTTGCACCTCCAGGGTGTTTGTCTTAAACTGCAAAAAATAGTAAATAATTCAAAAACAAAACATCCTCCGTGTTGTCATACGTACAAAAATAAATCACAAGTATATATGTATATATAAATCACATGAAAAAAAAATTGAAGATCATGACCATCTACATTTTGTAGTTTGTTCACAATTTTTAAAAATGTGGAATTGGTCCCAATAGCACCGTGAAGGAGCCTGAAAATCAGATATCAGACTCAGTCTTCTGTAATGGTCATAAAACACAAGGAATGGACCTTGTAGGTGATGTCAAGGCGGGAGTCGCTAAGGATTCGACATTCGAAAAGGTAGCAGTCATTGGAGAAAGTGTCACGTGATTTGTTGCGAAACTCGGAAACTGGAAAGCTGATGCAGGTCCACCTAAACGAGGGCTCATCGTTGTTATTGGACTCAAAGAACTCCAAAAATGGAGGAAAGGCGTTCTGGGGCCAATCACCGGGCTGGCGAGCACCAGGGGTGTAGACAATCCGGCGGACATTGTTACTTTCGGACTCGGGATAGGAAGTGTGGAGAGGGCGCTGGAGAGAAGCGGAGACGGATCATGGATGGAGAGACTGAGTGGGGTCGGCTTTGGGCGCGTGTTTGATGATGTAGACGTCTGATCAGTTGAAGCAGACGATGTGGGAGACAGAGATTTGGGTAGTGGAGAAGAAGGCATTGAATGTGGCTCAGTTTTGATCAACATTACAGGTTGGGATGCAGGTTGAGAGGTCCTTATTACGGAAGATGATGGATTTGTGCCATGGTACCTTACGCTGCCGATAAAAGGAGTTTCAGTTTTTACCGTGGGTGCTGCAGAGTTTCCCGGATTCAGGGCAAATGTAGCAGAAGACTTTATTCTAGCTGCGTCGTAAGATGCAAAATGTGGCATAACACACCCATGTTCTTTTGCCATATTATCCATCATTGCACGAAAAGAAATTTTATTTTCCGTTTTTACAATTTCCGGAAATGACACAAATTTGTACACAAACTTCTGTCCCATTACTTTCTTGATGATGTTTTTATCGTAATAGTATCTAAGCGCTCGGCTGAGCTTGTCATAATTCATGTTCAGCTTATTTTTACGTAGTCCCCATAGTTTCGCCACTTCTTCCGCATTAATCAATTTGAACTCTCCCTCCGTGTTTGTCCATTGAATGATTTCACTATGTTGATTTCCAACCAGTAACTCGAGCAAAAACTGCCACAGCGTCACATTTGTATCCATTACTGAACCTGTTAAAGACAACACATTTAATATTTAACTTAAAGCGGACTAAACTCCATCTACACAAAAAACAGGAAAGAAAGACGGAAGAGCGTTTATCAGCTGTGGGTAAACCCTCATTCATGATTTTGCAGACAAGTGTCGTCTGCATAACCTGGCGGATTACTTTGTCCGTTGCCTGTTCGTCCGTCTGTCTGTGAAGGTCACATTTTTACGAAGAAAGGTAACGTACAGACGTTGCATGTGTTTGCTGAACATTCTCGTCTTTGTGAGCGGTACATTCATTCAAGTTATTTATAAGAGACATCATACAATATGTCACCTTGTTTTCTTCAAATGGTGAACAATATAACAACCCAAATATACTCAAACACTGTTCGTTACTCACACAAACGTGAAACATGCGTGATCGATCACAAACACGTGTCAACATTGATGTTCTATTCATCTTTATGCTTATGCATAATTAAGTCTCAAATGTCAATTCGATCTCCTTTCTATTTTATCAATTTCCACGCGCAGTTGGCCACGACAACGGCGGGAAAACAAGACTACTAGTTGACAGAGATTTTGGATGATCCATCAAAATTTCTCATTCAGTATTTTCCTAATTATCGTTAAAAAAGGCATCCTTTGGCTACATTTCAAGCGTTCTGTAAATTAATAATATCTTTCATTGTCTTGACTATTATGGCTCAATTATTTGACTTGTTATGACACATTTAATTTGAATCAGACGACCCTGGCGAATCGTGCAACAGAGGTGCCATATTTAGATTTATTGAAGAATACGGCACATGGTGCTTTCACTCAAGTAACTGTATTTTAAATTTAAACTTGAGATTTATTTAAAAATATCCGGAATACTGAGTAAATAGTTAACTTTAACTTTCCTGGCCGATTTTTCCTCCCCCTTTCATTGACAAACAAACACGGAAGATAATGTGGCGGAAGAATTAAGTCGAGAAGGCTTTTTAAGGATAAGAGGGAAGCTTATTCTCACTGGCGTACGAAGAGCCGGAAAACGATCATCTAAACCCAGAATGGTTACACGTGAAACTTTTAAGGACGCTAAACGACCAAACTAAAAAAAATCCGTGATGACAATTAAAGAGTGCATGATAAAATCTGTACATATATAGTAATTCTATGTAACACTTCCATTTTTAATATGTTTACACAAGAAATATAACCAAATAAATCATATGGGACGGGGGCATACGTGTATTTGTTTCTGTTTTTGTTTTTCATGAAACGAATGCTTACTCTGAAAGGAAATAAAAATACTTGCAAAAAAGATTTTTGCTATGCTTTAACTTCTTCATGCAAGTGAAAGATCTGCACACTAGTATTGAATTTAGTTATATATTCTTTATACTAAGGATGGACAACTGCAAGTGGATTTTACCAAGATTTCCCATCATGCCTTGTAAAGCAATGCTTCTTTAACATTTTACTTCCAAAGTTCAATTTAAAAAAAAAGAGTGAATTAACTGTTTATTTTTGTGTAATGGGTGCTCGAGAGTCAAGTACAAGATATAACCACCCCCTCTTTAGACCAAAATATCAACACGTACGCCTCGTGTCTTTATAAATCTATTAAAATCCCAATGTTAAAACTTTTTTTTCCCACAGAAAAAAATATAAAGTTCCTGTTTCCTGTGGAAACGCCCAAATCCAACGGGACGATTTGGTAAATATATTTTGCTTGATCAAGTTCTCACCGTGAAACACAAGTGAAATAAAGCAAAAGCTCTTACAACCTTTTGCTGGCTAGTGTGACTGTTGTGTTTAAACGCTGTTTAATAACAATCTAGTATTTCATCTTCGTACAGAATATCATTTTGGCTCTTTCCAGTTCATACATACTTAATATCCTACCATTATCTTTTTAAAGCTACTTGTAAACAATGAATTAAAAAAATTGTGCTAAAAATCTACTCACCTCGTTGCTTAGTTATACAGAATTTCTTGCTTGGGGGTTCCCCGCCGTCAGAAAGACGAGATGACGAATCAGAAAGAGCGGGGGACGCCGTCCACGAGCGGGCATCTAAAAATAAACAAATTAGATAATTACCAAACACATAAAAAGATGGGTATTGCCAAAATACGCAAGCACCTGTCATTACCGTTTTTTCCTGTTGCTGTTGTTTTGTTTGTTTGGGTTTTTTTTCGGGGGGGGGGGGGCTGGGGAGGGGGGCAAGGGGGGTCAATAAAGACAGTCATATGCAAAACAGATGTGAATTAAAAAACTGTAAACACCCCCCCCCCCTTCCCCTTTTCTCCCACTGTTACCTATTTTGTGATCCTCCACTGCTTCTTTCCCAGATGTAGACCAGACAGATGCTAACAAAGCCTTTACACGAGACGGTTCTTTTTACCGTGTATTGATATCCAGTGATATTTAAGACGGTTAATTTGAAAATGACAATCACATAGTGACGTCAATCCCCACATTTTTGCTTTCTATCAGAGTTCTTCCTGTGTTCAGGATTCAGTTGCAAGTATGTCAGAAAGTAGATCTCATGAAATAGCAACGCGACAGTAAAACTCATTTGACGTGTGCACATTGTCAATTCAATTTTAATAAAATGCACTAATTGGTTGTATATACATCATTCCATAATTGTAAGAGCACCGATGTATTAAGACTGATTTAATTATCTTTTTCAGATTTTATATTTTCGATTTATAGGTACGAAGTAATTAGATGCCTACACACAATGTCCGCCTGTTATGTATACTATCTGCTTTGTTGTGTAGAGTCTACTCCCATTGGAACTAAGCATTAATTTTAAAACAGCGCGGACTGGTACACTGTTATGACTGATCAAATCAAACCGAATAAATTCATCATTATCAATCAATGTCTATACCGCAAATGTTGGTGCAAACTCTATATTCATGCAGATATACATTTACTAACCTTCATAAACTCAAAACAGCTAGCGGAAATGAAAATCCAAAATTGTCTGTATTACGATTTTGGATACAAATCACAAAGTTTCTTTGTGTGGAAAGAAAAAAAAACTATGATGTATATAAAAAAACACACATCTACTGCCTTTTCCCCATCTGGTGAGAATTTACACATTCTTCAAATAATTTCATAGTAAAGAGCGGCTGAAATCGAATACACGGGGCTGAAATAAAGCGACTCAGCGCCCAGGACTCCGAAAAATGTTACCCTTATCGCTCCAAAATCTCGCCTGTCATGAAAGTTAGGGGAACGTGAGAGGGAGACTGCTACATGCAACATAAACTCATCCTCACCCCTCTCTTAAAAAAACCTCCAAAATTTTAATTTAGGTTACAAATCTATTAAAGAAAGTTTTTTTCGAGAACTTCGATACAAAAAAAAATGCACTCTAGGGATATATAATCGATGGGAATCTTCGCCCTAGCACTTCAGAAGCGGAGAGGGAGCATGAAATTTTTGCTTCTTTTTCCTTTGATTTTTTCAAGAGCTTATGACGGTATCATGTTTCTCCAAATGACGCAGAACACTGATATTTCAGAGATTTTTTTTTCTTTCTCAGAGGCGGCAGAACGAAGGAATCATAACGTAATGTTCTTACATATTTTCACATCAGTTCTAGCGATAAAGTCGGCGGGACCATTAGAGATGAGGATAAGATTTTCCAATATATTTTTTTTTCTTTTGGATTGAAAAAGTTTATTTTTTTTTATCTCGCCTTTGCAATAATTCACATCAAGCATTTTTAAACGTCAATTTGTCTCCATAATAATATAAAGAACGTTAATTTTCAATGCACGTATGAAATTTAATGATTTACAATTAAAATCATTGATTCTCCTGTCGATTCTCATGCATGCTTCATGTTGACACTAGAAAATTTGAACTTACCCTCCATACTATGTTGGATCGACTCTTATTGATGACACTTAAATTCCTGGAAGAAAAAAAAATTAAAAATGATTTATTCCATCTTGTGTGGAAGCCTTTTCTTTATCTCAATACGTGACACACATACATTCAGTCGCAAAAAATAGCTTGTTCTTCGAAAAAGGTCCGGTCCGGCACTAAATCGGGGCCCTGTTCTATATATTCATATACCAGGAAACTTCCCCCCAAAACTCTTCCTCGTATGTGAAGTATATTCAATTTTTGTATTATTGTAGATGAAAAGCAACACAGGGGACATTTAATCTAGTAAAAAGATTCTTAAACCAACTGTTAAGAAATGGTTTTTAATACAGCGGGATTTCTAGTACTTCCGACGTGAATTACTTCCTTATTAATTTTTGTAAGAGAAAAAAGTTTACAAATCTTGACTTCCGAGTAGTTATTTAGATAATGTACAACAATATACTATTAACATACATGTATGTTAAAATCATATATGATCTAGTTCGATGCATAGAAGTTGGGTAAATGTTGAATTTAATTTTTGGTATATGCCCCATTGCGTCGCCCGATTCATTCTCTTTGAATTTCAATTAACAAACACCCTTAATTAAAAGTTCACCATGCACATGCAGTACACCAGAATTTATATAATGGTAAAACCTCAAAGTCCTTATAAGTAATTATCATGATATTCACCTTACACTGAGGACAATTTATTATTTTTTTAATTTATGAAGATGTCCACAGAAAAATTAGACCTCCTCCCTTATTTTCAAGTTTCCTTTAGATGTGTTAAAACCAATAAAATGAAATGGCAAACACTAGTACTAAAACGTCAAAAAATAAGACATGATTGATAACTATAAGAGATACTTGTTGCAGAACATTCATGCAACATTGAGAACATATGCTGAACACAGAACAGGTAAATAAAACAGGTGGGTCCCGGAACTGAAACCATTGAACAGGATGTATTCATCTCTCTCTCTCTCTCTCTCTCTCTCTCTCTCTCTCTCGTGTGTGTGTATGTATGTGTGATTCGGAGTCAAAGTAATCCACTACTGAGACTATGTAATTATGCTTTACTCTAATTTACGAAAGGTCTTTACACTGGAGAGTGAGGATTGCGTGTGGGTGTTCATCATGTGTGAGATAATGATATAGAGCAGCAAGCCTCGATCGTCACCCAACATTAAGGCTTACGTAATATACAGCCAAAAAGTGACATTAACCAGTCATGTACACTATAAATGCGCCTCTGTATTTCTGTTGTGTCTACAACTAAATAGAAGTAAACCCGGACACACAGTTGCATAATAGCACTGCCTGTTTTAGTGTTTACGAATAAAAAAAAGAGAACTTTTTTTTCGTAATTAATGAAGAAAAAAATCATTAACTTTGATCTTTCGTGAGATTGTATTCTCTGAAGGACTTTTCGGGCACCTGCTCTAGTGACCTCAATCAATTTTTAAGAGTATATATAGTACATATGCCCACTGAGCACTGGTTTCTCCTCGCCATTATGCTATTTTTATGCTAGAGGTTTACATTTTATGAGGAATTATGTTGTAAAGATTTTAAAGAAGCCATGAAGATCCTTTTAAATTGGTCGGTTTGAAATATTTGAAAAATTCCCGATGGGATGCTATTTCACACTTGAAGACCCAAACTGTAAAGCGGGTACCTCTGTCAATGTAAAGACTTGACATAACACCGGAAACATTGAGTGAAGATTGAATAGGATCTAATGCTTGAATTTGTTTGGGACACACTCGTGTTAATCTGACCCCCTGATGCTTACACAGGGCGGATGGATGGCTTGAGACTAAACAATTTCAGGGGAAATGTCCAAATGTACAGAATTTTATGATTGAGAAATCAACTAATTTACAGTATCATGACTCACTAGCTCAACTGTTACTGATAAATTTAAAGAATTTGGTTACTCGGTAGATTGTGATAATCGGACATACCTCTAATCATATCTATGAGTGAAACGGGGACCTATAAAATATTAACTACTAGAATATACGTCCCTGTTGAAAATTAGAATCCTCAAACCTTACACTGTTACAAGAACTCTAAGTATCTTTCTCTCTATCTCCCTCTCTCTCACACACATATCAACATAAAACAATTCATTCATAATCATAAAACTCAATATTGATCACGTGTTTTATATATTGTATACAAATGATAACAACATCATCAATACTGACCTCCCAAGCTCCAGTAAAGTAGGGGGTCAAGTGAAGTGCACCCCCTCCCACGACGGTAACAAATCCCCGGATTACCAGTACCTGCCCACACAATAATAGTTCTGTCAAGCGTTTCTTAAACTGATATTGAAAATAAACGACGTTATTCCATTACAAACTCTACAAAAACATCACGGTTTCTCTTTTTTTCTAACATACAACCATGCGTATCGTGGAATGCGGTGGGGTGAATCAGTTGACCCGGAAGTTAGCGTTTACTCGGGGAACTCCCCATATATTGACGTCACGTCACAGACGAGTAAAAAAAAAAAAGAGTTGTTACTGTCAGTGAACCAAACAGGGTCACCTTTGACCAATCAATACTGAGAATAAGGTAATTAGCGTTAGGTAATTGCTATTAATAGATTATTCATTGACAAGGACTTAGGCGTGTATAGCATTAACGATATCTCATAACGTGTGATACCAACTATATATTTTTGATATGTATGTTAATCAAAATTATGTAATTAGTTGTTGAATACGCAATAATTACTTTTTTCTATTAAGTAAATGTTCACATACGGTAATATAAAATTTTTCACATGCAATAACTTATAAATATGACTTACCTTAGGAAGGACAAATGTTTAAATTGTCAGTTCAATTTCATACACCCACGCTAAAATTTTAATTCTAAACGCTGGAATTTAGAACTAAAATATAAAGACGGACTTCCAAACATTTTGTGGGGGCGATTTGTCTTCTTGGGGTGTTTCTCAATTCAATTGAATTTCAATTCAGTTTATTCTCACATTGTGTAAAACAACATAGAGAAAATAGAACAACGATATCAAACAAAATACATGATGCAAGAAATCACAAAATCACACATCTATTATGTTGAGTAAAAGTATACACTATATACAAACGTTCAGTTTACTACTTTTTTCCATTTTTATAATAAACAATTTTATTAAGATTAAATAGAATTGTACTGTAAATGCAGGACTTGGGGGGGGGGGGGGAGGAGGAAGTCATCTGGTAGAAAAACAAGAAAGCTGGCGGAGGGATCGAGCGTCCGTTGTCCACATATTCACCTTTCATTAAAAAAAAAGAAAGAAAAACGGTAATAGAATACACAGGTGAGGAAATACCATTCTGTACATCGATTCTGAATTGCAACGAACCTTGTTCCCATGGTCTCAAAAATAGGGAGGAAAGTTGTGTGATTTTTCAAAATACTGCCCCTCCTACGGTTTTTATCCTTATTTACCAAATTTAACTTGGTTAAGTGCAGACATCAAAACACTCAGTTGTAACAATGCTCATATAATATATCGATTAACTTGCCGGGTTAAAAAATCAAATCATTTTCTAAATATTTCAAAAATGTTTTTTTTCCTTCAATACTTTTATTCAGATTTCACAAGATACATTAAAAAAATAAAATAAATCATCGTGATAACTAATAAGGGAATCTCCTGTTAAATGATTTCAAAATTCAACAATATATATATGAATGTATGTATATTTCTGATTGATTGAAACCCTGTCACAGTGTTAATTAAAAGTGTAAATTTTGAATTTACTTGATGACTACAAAAACAAGTGTCATTTTGTAAATTTTATACGTACAGAGTGTACTATTCAATTAGAAAGAAACTTGGTTAAAACTTAGATGATAGGGTTTTAAAATTGTGAGAATGGTTGGCGTTGCTCCTAAAAATAGAATCACCTGTTTGATTATTAAATGCTACAAAAGTTCTTTCAATTTCAGGGGGGGGGGGGGGGTTGTCTGAAACGAATCAAAAATAAAACCAAGAGGCCCATGGGCCACATCGTTTACCTGATCCTTTGTTGTAAGTTTGGTTGAAATTGGCCCAGTTTCTGGAGAAGAAGTCGAAAAAAATGTTAAAAGTTTACAGACAACACACGACTGACAGACGGACGCCTACACTTTTCAATCAGAAAGGCTCACTTGAGCCTTCGGCTCAGGTGAACTAAAAAGACTAACAATGGTTTCGCTGTTCTTTAAAATAAGAATTTTTCAAAATGATTTTTCCCTATTTAATCCTATGCTAACATTCGATCGCCCATTGTGGCCCCACCCTACCCCCGGGGATCATAATTTGAACAAATTAGAATCTACACTACCTAAGGATGTTTTCTATATAAATATTGCTAACAATGGCTTTGCTACTCTTGATGTGAGAAGAGGAAATTTATTTTTTTTTCTATATACTCTTATGTATCAGAAAAAATCACTTGAACCTTCCGCTCAGGTGAGCTAAAAATGACTTGTCATGGCTTTTCTGTTCTTATGAAAAAGAATTTTAAAGATTTTCCCTTTATGTTCCTATGAAAATATTTGATCACCCATTGTGGCCCACCCTACCCCTGGGGGTCATGATTTGAACATACTTGAATTTACACTACCTATACTCCAAATAAATATGAGCTTGCTGTTCTTCAGAAGATTTTTAAATACGTTCCCTATATATTCATATATAAAACTTTGATCACCCACTGTGGCTCCATCCTATCCCTGGGGCTCCTGATTTGAACAAACTCAAACCTACACTTTGTAATGAAGCTTTCATCAAAGTTTCATTTTTTCTGGCACAGTGGTTCTTGAGAAGATTTTTTAAAGATGTCGTTCAATTTTCACCAATTCTATTAACTCCCCTTGAAAGAAGGCGCTGACATTAATTCATATGAACAAATTTGAACCTCCTTCACCTAAGGATGTATTGTGACATGTCTGGTTGAAACTGGTCCAGTGGTTCTAAAGAGGAAGTCAAAAATGTGTAAAGTTTACAGACGACACGCGACTTAAGACAGACGACACACAACAGACAGACGCCGGACACCCTTCCACTTGAGCCTTCGGTTCATGCAGATGAACTTGAATTAAAAGAAAATGTATCTTCCCTCCCCTTCTCACATTTTGGGTACTGGTAGTCTTTTTGGTATGGAAGGATGGAAATTTTCATTCAAAGGTCGGAAAAATATATCCACACATCACCCTCTTCCCACCCCTCAATAAAATAGGTTTTAGACTTTTGTCCATTTATTTAATTATGATTTTTTAAAATTGTTGCTTACATTGTCTAATGCCCCCCCCCCCCACCCACCCCCCTTCTCCACACAGACACAAATAAACAAAAACACTGAAAAAGTTAGATCGGTTATTATTTATTTATTTATTTATTTATTTATTATCTTTCTCGAGGGGGGGGGGGGGCTAATCAATAATCCCATCAATATATTCATGCACAAATATTTTTTTCACTGGAAATAATAACTGCATTTGTGACAGTGTAACTGCATGTTCGATAAAATATATGAGGTTTTACGACAGACGTCATACACGAACACTTACTTAAAATGTATCCATTAAAGTACTGCATGCATAAAAAAGTTTTTTTAATTTTCACGTCTACGTGCACTTTCTCGAAATCATATAGTGACAGTCTCCTCCTTCAATTTTGATCTGATTTCAATCAAACTTAATATACAGGTTGATTCAGCTAGACATGTTATTTTGTCTAAAGGTTTTTATTTCAAGGAACGGTGTTGTTATTGATACTAAAATAGAAAATTGAAAGTTCTCTCAGGACGTTACTACTAGTTTAGCTTCACTTTCAGTAAAACTTGCAAGGTACACAACAACACTACAATAATGGAGGGGATGGGGGGGGGTCTTGATCCCTAGTTGGTCATGGACACGGTTCTGATGGGATCCCAGTGGGGAAAGACCCCAGAAACTCCAGGGTTCTGATAATTTGAAAGATACAGACTTTTTAATTGCCAAAATACATGAAGTTGAAGATTGTTTATTCAGTATATTGTGCATTAAAAATATTATTTAAATCTTGAAGGGGTCCATGTTGGTCAAAAACAAAGTAGAATTAGAATATAGTTAGCATTCTTTTATATATTTTACTGTATTTATATCATGAATACACACTATGTCCAGAAAACATCAATATGGGTATGTTCAGTCATCTATATATGTTTTCATTTCGAGTATAAATCGAGTACATATAGTTGTATAAAATAGAAAAGCAAAAAAGTATTGTAATAATTTTTTAATTTCTTTTCCGCTTAGGCCAAGTGAAAGACAAATAGTCAAAATCATTGATCAATGATATTACATGAAAAATAATATGTACCCCTCCCCCCTTTTTGTTCCAGTTTTAGCTACGCCATTGAAATATTTTATTTCAAAATACTACTGCTCTTTCACTTCGATTTGAGTTCAATATACCCTGGTGCACTTCAAGAATATGGTTGTCGTTGTTGTTGTTGTTTCTTTGTTTGTTTTTTTTTTTTTTTTTTTTTTTGGTTTTTAATTTCAATGTATGCGTTATACTTGGGTGCCAAAAAAAAATGAATCTGTGGATTTGTTTAATATGCTAGTCGGTTTCAATTAAGGTTCAATGACCCTCTGATAAGAGAGATAACTCATTTTGTGCAGATAAACGACTACATGTACTTTTCTTTTAGACAATTACAATGTATCAAGATAAAGGGCCATTTTTGCATTTTAATAATAAATTAGATTTCTTTCGGGAAATCATTAAGATTAAAGCAAACTTTTATACGTGTGAACAGAGGAACAATTAATGAAATTTAAATAAAAACTTACACAAGTAGACTTCATCTAATGCATAATTTATTTAATCGATATTTATATTTCAGTTGTGTTGCTATGAATACTAAAAATGAAATATTTCATAAATTCTTTGAACATGTTAAAATCCTCCATTTTTTTTTTTTTTTCTGAATAAAAATTATGGAAGTCTATCAAATATCAAGCTACACGATTCTGCATGTAAAGCTAAAACTAAGAAATTATAGAAATTGTGCAAACTAATTGTAACTTTTAGACCATTATGATTTCAAACCGGAGCCACAGTCACAAATGAGACTTTGGTCTTGCATTTGAAGCTGACATATCTCTTCCAATGAACAGATTTCAACCCCTTAACTCAGTGATTCTGAGCAAGGGACCAAGTTGTTCTGGAGAAGTCGAAAGTGTGAAAGCTGTCAGAAGGACAGACAAACTTTCACCATAGCCTCTAATTCAGTTGAGGTTATATTAAAAACATTAGTAGATATCAACTAAAGAAAAAAGATTCACACGTACAATATTTAACATAAAAACATAGCTTTTTTATCACAAAA